CCTCGGGCGGGAGCGCCGCTGCGCTTCCCAAGCGGTGCACTTATCCAGTGCGCCACCGGGCTGGCCCCAACACTTGGATCTTTTATGTTGTCTGGTTGTCACAGTTGGAAAATAGTTCCAGTCCTGAAGTTGACCTTGAAAGAAAGTGAGCTGAGATGCTGGGTACCGTTCAAGCTTTATTAAAGAAAGAAATCTGCTGGGCTGTGCTTAAAATGGAGGATAGCCCGGGGCTGCCCTGAAAATGGGGGACAGCAGCAACAATGGGTTTGCGAGGGTTTATATTAACTGTTGGGCATGAAATGTAAGGGGGGCGGGGGAGGGACCATTAGGTTGACGTAACTGGGTAGAGACTGTGCTGATGCAGAAGCTGGAAAGTTGTTTCTAAGTCAGGAGGCTTCTTGTAAAGGGAAGTGGGGAGGGGCTTGGTGCTGGAGTGGAAGACGAGGCCAGCAGCTATTTTGTGCTAGTGCTTATTGTGTGCACAATGGTGCCTGCCACATCCCAGATCCATCAGACCTCTGTGCCCACTCCCCACCTTCAAATTAATTCATTATATTATTAACATTTGAGGACATTAAGTCCAAAGAATGTGTAAACTGATTTGCTTCACTCTAGGACATTATCAGTTTTTTAAAAAGTGTAGTTCCACTTCTCTTTCTTCTTCCACATCATCCTGCAAAGTGTGTCCGTTATATGTCTTGTGCCTACCAAGAGTGGTCATTGGCAAAGGAAAGCAGGACATGGAAAATGTTGTCAGACCTCATTAGGAACCTCACTTTTTCATCAGTTTTCTAGTTTTTCTCTTCTTCACTGAAGCAGTCCATAGAGGTATTAGAGGCTTAGTGTAAAGGATCCATAGGACATGTAAATTGTAAACAAATTAAGCCAAGGACACCAGGAGATGCCAGGTCTCCAAGTTCTTCACTGGAGGTGTACTCAGATGAGCTATGACAGCATTTTCCCTATCCAGGGTGACAACCTGCCAGGTGAAGGGAAGCCGCAAATTGGGGGTTACCAAACCTCTTATACTCCAACTGTATCCCTCTGAAATGCAAGTAATCGTGTTTGGTTACAAAAGCTGCCTTCAATAAGCCATATCACTGGAATCTAACATTTGGGTGATGGATGTAATCTTGCTGGGCTGTCCACAGATTGTATGTCCATGTCTAGGCATCTCATACTTGTGTCCATATCACAACTGCATAATGATGGCCATCTTTTGGACCTTCACAGTTGCCTCACAGCCAGGAAAGGCTGTGCCCAACAGCCCTGCCCAGACCTACAGCACACCCCACCCAGCCCAGCTCTTACCGTAGTCTGTGCAGGCCTTGCCTCTTACTCAGTGTAATAAATGACATTCTCAAGAACTTCTCAGTGTGGATTCTCAGTGAAGCTTACCTTTGATGGCTCATGAGGGTCAGTCAACAAGAACCATCCATCAGGTAAGGGGTAGGGAACAGGCTGTGCGCTGTCAAGAATAACCGCAGACCAGTGATCAAGCAGGAAATGATCCTGAGAAGTGCTGGGACATAGTCACCTTATTAAGTACAGCGAAGGACTGATCCTTTCAAAACTGGGATTTCTCTTAGCTTGCAGCTGTAACCCTGAGCATGCAGAAGACTGTGACCAGGGCTCAGGCCGCTGCCACTGCAAGCCAAATTTCCAGGGAGACCACTGTGAGGAGTGTGCGCCAGGATACCACCACTTCCCACTCTGCTTACGTAAGTGCTGCCATGGAGGAAGAGGCGCCCTTTGTGGTCCACAGCTGCTTGTGCATTCACACCTGAGGGCATATCAGGTAGGGTTGGGGGGTGGGCAGAAAGGGGGCCAGGTAGGTTATATTTACATGAAAGTATTTCCAAAGGATTGGAGTATAAATTTTACATAAGTCCATTTTATAGTCTTATTCATCTCTGAAGTGTTAGTTACATTTTACCATAGGCATTGCCATCTCAGTAGGTCAAAAGGGTCAAATATTGACAATTTTAACTTAATGGTAACCCGTGTGTTGATTCTTTTTCATAAGCCTAGAAGAAATGTCATGGACTTCCAGGTGTTCGTTGTGTACTTATAGTGCTTCGGTGGGTCGGGGGCTGTGTTTCCTTTCCCGCTGCACTGTAGGCCAGCTTATCAGGGCCCCACCTGCATCCCACTGCAGTGATCTAAGACAACATCTCAGCATCTCCAAGAGAGAAGACTTAGGTCTGTCAGAAACACTGCAGAGCACAAAGCAGGAGAATCTGTGAAATCAGCTGTGCAGATGGACAAGAGTGTAGTTTCTGTTTGTTCGGCAACAGTGGAAAAACTGCACTTTTGGGTTAGGACAAAGAAACACTGTCTCAGGAAGGGACCCCTCCCCCAGCCCCCTGCATTGCTACATCAGTTATTAACCATCCCCACTAAGGTCTGTCAGAAACACTGCAGAGCACAAAGCAGGAGAATCTGTGAAATCAGCTGTGCAGATTGACAAGAGTGTAGTTTCTGTTTGTTCGGCAACAGTGGAAAAACTGCACTTTTGGGTTAGGACAAAGAAACACTGTCTCAGGAAGGGACCCCTCCCCCCAGCCCCCTGCATTGCTACATCAGTTATTGACCATCCCCACTCGCCCCCTGCATTGCTACATCAGTTATTGACCATCCCCACTCTCGTAACTCCTGTGGATCTATCACAGGAAAAGTACCGTGAGTTGCAGGACACAGGGGCAGGACTCATGTGAATGGGGTAACTATATATTCCAGTTTATACCTGCTGTCGCGGGGTAATTATTAAAATAGCACCCACTTTCATTGTTGAGATTATCCTAGTTTGGATGAAAAATTATACAATTACCTTACATTTAAAGGAATCAATGTTTTAAGCCCAAATGCAATGACACCATATTGGGACTTGATCAATTTAGAATCTGTGATTATTGGATATGAGCTGAGCAGAAATTGCACTTGCCTTTTTAGTGAAGAAAAAAAAAAGAAGAAACCTGAAGCAGTCTTATAAGATAAACAAGACTTCAGGGAAAAAACTTGAAAGAAAACATTTTTTAAAAGCTAGTCTGAATTTTACATTAAAAAACCAATGAAGATGTTAAAAAAGCCAAGCTCATCCCTGCTTAGGCTGAGACTTAGCTATTGTGAGCACAAAACATCTGTTTCTGTTTATTAATGTGTATGCAAATTAGAATATCTGACCAGTCTGGTTTCAATTACTAGACACATTTGAAATATAGCAATATTGCCTTTCTTTAAATTAGCCTCTGTGCTACTTTTCACTAAGTGAGAGAAGGTTGCTTCTCATCTAATGCAATTTAATGTTTTACTTTCCCATCTCCTTAATCATTTTCTGTATTTTTAAATAAACTATTTTTATAGGAATTCCCATTTTTCCTATTTCTACTCGAAGTCCAGAAGATCCAGAAGCTGGAGATATAAAAGGCAAGTAATCTCTCTCTTGGTTTAACTTCAATGGAAATGTGATGCTGCATGTCCTTTTCCTACTTCCTGTGCACACTGCCAAGCCTAAGTTCCAGGCCTCCTTCCTGGAGCATGGCAGGTACCTTGCAGGTCTGTCCTACCTGACCTGCTTACTCCCTGTTATTTTCTACTCCAGTCTGTCTTTTGCAATGGCACTACTTGCTTTAAAAAACTAAATAGAGCTTGGATTATATATCACTAGCTTGCTCAAAAATCTCCAGTGGCAGCCAGTTGTCTACTGTCTTATTTGGGTTTTCCAAAAACAGACTCTAAGAAACACCAGGAAGGAAGCGAGTCAGGGGATGGAGGGAGCCATTGTAAAGATGCCAGCAAGGTCCTACTGTGGCAGCTGGAGCTGCACCCTGTAAGCAACTCTAGGAGACAGCACAGAACTTGCTCAGAGTTAACCCTGTGGAAGGGGTACATCAGTTATCTGCTATTAGTGGAGGACTGCTTCTGGGGCATTAACTCTCTGGCACTTACAGGTTGGCCTGCAGAAAGGCTGAGGAGCTTCTGCAGCCAAAAACAAAAAAGCCCTTGGGCAGAGAGTAGCAAGGCTGTGCGTAAGCAGTCTTTGGGTGGGTGGGGAGGCGAGTACCAGAGGATGCCAGCGTGACACCTGCCTAAGCATTTGCTCCTTAAGTATTTTAAGATTCCCTTGTATGTGCAAAGCAGTATTCTGGCTGCTGGGGGGGTACTTAGTAGGGAAAAGAATAGAAAAAAAGAATTCTTAGCTCTCCTGGAGTTTATATTCCAGGGGGAGGACTTAGACAATAACATATATAATATATAAACCACAGAACAAGTAAAACATCTAATATGTTAGACTGTGATATGTGGGGTTGTGTCCTACACAAGAGTGCCACTTTTAAGGTGGTGGGTTGGGAGGGTAGGGATTCATATCATAGGCATAAATTAACTTATATGAGAAGATCCCAGGCCTGTAGGCTCAGTTCTGGAGCTGTGAGCAGTTTCCTGCACATACCCACAGTGGCACACACAGGGACACACACATACTCAGAAGGGACACACTGCATACACACAGCCCACAACTGCACCCCATCTGGGTCATGCTGGGGCCTCTCCTACCCTGGGCACCTGCAGAGGCCTGATGGCCAGGTGCTCATCTACTTGGGGAGGAGGTCATGCAGGGTGTGTGTGGGCCTGGGGCCCTTCCACCTGCAGTGTCCAGGATGTGGGCAGGCGGGGAAGATGGTCTCTGGAGTGCTCTCCTTGGCAGAGGAGTTCAGGTTTGGCAACAAGATAGTAAGTCTGGGTGTGGGCTGGAGAGAGCCTTGGAGATAAAATAAGGCTGGCAAAAATAAGGCAGGGAGAGAGACTAGGGAATGTGGGGTTTGCAAAATTGAATAGAGTAGTCAGGGAGGGCCTCCCTGAAGCAGGCACAAGAAAGAGCAGGTGGGAAGTCCCTGGGGCAGGAGCGTCCCTGGGCCTGGGGTGGGGGTGTGGGTGTGGGGATGGTGTGGATCAGTGAACAGAAAGGGACCAGATGTATGAAAGGGGAGAGAGAGAAGGGCAGAGTGGTGGGTGTTGCTTTGCCTCACACAGGGTGACGGGTGGGGGTGTGGGTGTGGGGATGGTGTGGATCAGTGAACAGAAAGGGACCAGATGTATGAGAGGGGAGAGAGAGAAGGGCAGAGTGGTGGGTGTTGCTTTGCCTCACACAGGGTGACGGAGATGTAAAAGGATTACTCAAAGTCCATGTCTTCTGAGCAGTGAGACAACCCGAAGGGGTTAATTTCCTGAAACCCTCAAGAGAGAGGCATTCCTCTTTTGGGAAATTAACCCCAAACTGGAGTTCTGTCTCAGTATTTATTCTCCAGGCCAGAAAGTTACAGAAAAAGAACATAGGTGGAGTTCTGGCTAAGTACAGTTTAACAATAGAGGCCGGTAATGTCAGTGAAATAACAAAGTGACATTCCATAATGCAATTTGCAAAAGGTTAAGTTGATCCAGTGACAAAAGCTTGTTCTTAGCAAACATTTTTTTCCCTACAGCAATTTCCTTAGTATGTTTACATAACAATCAAGTAAGGTTAACCTGCACCAAGGACATCTACCCTTTGAGCCAGCAATTTTGCTGTGTTACAATTCTATATCTATAACAGAGACTTTAGCCTGGGGAAAGTTTCCTGTCTTTTGCAAGGTTAACATTTCTATATGCAATTTTAAAGAGTGAGGTTAAACCTGAAACTACAGGGCTTTGGAAACTAGGCCCTGTGAAATACATTTGCTTTATAAATGTTAGTATACTCCACAGTGGGGAGGGACATGCTGGGGCCAGACCATATAGCCCTTGTGAGCCACTGTAGAGACCTCACCTTTTACTCAGAAAGTGATGGATCTGTGAAGAGTCATGCACAGAGAAGTGACATGGAAGAAGGATCTGTGTGGCTGCTGTACTGAAAACAAATTGTAGGGGGAGAAGGGAAGAAGCCGAGAGACCTGGTGGGAAGCTCTTGTGATGATCCAGGAGGAGGAGGTGACTGGGGCTCAGCCCAGGGGATGCCAGTGTGGGTGAGGAGAAGTGGACAGACTGGGCAGGATCTGAAGGTGCAACCCACAGGATTTGTGGGGACTGCTGGGCTGGATGTGGAATAGGAGAGAGAGAAAGGACTGGGGGGTGACTCCAAGGCTTTGGGATTGAGCAAACAGCAGGAAGAAGTTGCCTTTTATTTATTTTTCCAGTTTTATTCATATTTATTTTTGTGGGGTACAGTGCATTGTTTCAATACACATGTGTCTTGCACAATGATTCACTTAGCATAGTATTGTCCTCATTGGTCCACCATTTATCTTCCTTGCCACCCCCACCCCTCCCCACCTCTCATAACCATTATTCTATTCTCTACTTTTTTTTAAACACACGAAGATTAATATCTTTATTGCAAAAAGAACTCTTAAAAATGAATTAGAAAAATCTAAGCTGAAATTTGGAGAAGGACATGAGCAGATAAGTCACACACCCAAAGAAATACACGTGGTGAATAAGTATCTTGTAGGGTCTGGTTGAGGGCAAGGGCAGGGCTGTCCCAGCCTCTGTCTCTCAGGATCCCGGGAGTGAGGCTGGCTCTGTTGCTGGCCTGGATGTGTGGTGGCCTGGTGGTGGTGGAGGCGGGGCTAGGGCCCACAGCTCCCATCTCCTGCGACCCCTGCACATGTGGCTGTCTTCCATTGCTGGCTTGTATGTGCTGTGGCAGTGGTGGCAGCAGGGGCAGGGCTAGGGCCCCTACCCCCCCATCTCCCAGGATCCCCCAAAGTTACCCTGTATTTAGACAGAAAGACTAAAAGAAGAGAAAGCAGATGGCGTGGGTGGAGGAGGGGTGGGCCGGTGTGGTGGTGGAAGTTCATGGAGGCTCTTTTCTGGCTGTTTCTTGTCTTCTTTGTGAAATAAGAAACTGGGTTGGGGCAGAAAGTGAGGATGGGGAAGAGGCCTTGGAGTTGAGGAGAGAGAAGGTGTGAAAGTCACCCAGGAATGCAGGGGAGCAAATGGGTTTGGGAAGTGTCCTGGGATTGTTGGGCTCACAAGGGCTCGTTCGAGGTCAGTCATAACCCGACCATGCTTGTTTCCTTCGCCTGCCCTCCCCACACCCGACTCCTCTGATCAAACCGTGCTGCCATGTGTTATTGACGTGGGGTGCTGTCCTGTGCCTGCGTCAGGCACTGGGCACCTTAGGATGGTGGCTCTGCTTGACCTGGCTTGTGCTCCCACAGTGCCTGCCGTGATCCTGCCCGCGGCGGGTATCAGCAAATGTTTCCTTCCATGTTGTTAATTGGCTAGAGTGGAACTTAGCTTCTGGGCCTTGGTTACAACACACATCTCTGGTTTTCTTCCACAAGACTATTTTAGATTTCCTATTATGGTCTGTTTACAATAATCCCTTTGTTATTCAATTTCTTCTCCCCAAGTAGACTGATGGTAACTTCAGGGAAATAAATTCATTTGAACTTGAAAGGAGGTTCAGATGTCAGTTATAAAATGTTACGGAGGCCTTGGAACATAGCCTGCAGGAAAAGAAGTTTCAGTTAGTGCAATTGGGTTTATTTGGGAATTTGAATGCACGGATAACCACTTCAATTTGGTCTTCTATTCATGCGTTTTTTTTTCCTTTTTTGTCTTTTTTACTGACTGGTAACGGGATTGCAACCCTCGGTGTCGCACCCATACCGGGGACCAGCAATGGGATCGCAACCCTCGGTGTTGCGCCCGCACCGCGCTCAGCCAGTGAGCGGGAACCGGTCTCCACATGGGATCCGAACCCTCGGCGGGAGTGCTGCCGCGCTCCCAAGCGGTGCACTCTCCAGTGCGCCACCGGGCCGGCCCTATTCATGCATTTTTAAAACACCCTATTTGGGGCCTAACTCCTGTCAGTGAATCTATCCTAGGACATACCCCGAAAGTTGCTTTTAAAATCACTGTCAGCTTTTATTCTTAGTATAATAGAAAGAACATGGGTTTTGGAATCAGGCGGACCTGGGTTTGAATTCTGACTCTGCCCACCTGGCTTTGTGACCTTGGCAAGTTAATTAACCTTTCTGAGCATCTTTTCCCCCAACTATAAAATGCTTGCCTATCTTACAGGGCTCTTGATTGACTTCATTATTAACCCATTCATAACAAAGTCGAGCAAGAGCCCTGTGTTTTTGAGAAAGTTATTTACTGAGAAATACAGTGCGATGGCACTGGGGTCCTGTGGTGAGCTCTCACAAAGTGTCCAGCCTGCCGGGTGTCTCACCCATCTGTTTCTGTAGAATAAATCACCCCCAAAGTTAGTGGCTTGAAACAACAGGGTTATTTCTCACAGTTGTGTGGGTCGGTTGTGCAGTTCTGCTGGCCTTGCCAGAGGGTCTGCTGGGGCTGGGCTCAGCTGGGACAGATGGCATCTCTCTCCATGTGACATTTTGTCCTTGAGGAGACCAGACTGTGAGTCCCACTCATGGCAGCCTCAGGATTCCCAGAGGGGGAGAGTGGAAACTGTAAGGTCTGTGGTGACCTGGGCTCAGCAGTCACAGGAGAGCACTTTCACCTCATTCCACTGGTCAAATCAAGTCACAGGCCAATAAAGGTTTTCAAAAATTAAAGTGTTGTGAAAGACAGACACAGACAGCTAAGATACAGAATGGCGGGGGGTGGGGAAGGGAGTGGTTTATACAGACTGGTCAGGGAGACCTTCTGAGGAGCTGGCATTTGAACTGATGGACAGGAAACAGTTGCTGTGCCAAGAGCCATGATAGGGGTGTGCCAGGCAGAGGGAACAGTCTGAGCAAAGGTCCTGAGGTGGGAAAGCACTTGACGGAGGCATCGGAAGCAGCCTGGTCTTAAGTGGGACAGTCCGAGGGAAGTCCCCAAAGCACATCGGGCACGTAGCAGGGCTGAATTTATGTTGGTTTCTTTTTTTCTAAAAAATGGAAGACGGTAGAAGGTAGAAATATGTTTAATTCAAGATCGTCATTAGATGGAAATTTACTGAGTTAAGGTTTTACCGTACAAGGCTCAGATTTGGAGGGGAAAAAAAGAATTTCTACAGGGGTAGTGTTAAAAGATTATAACTGTTTTGTAAACTAATGACCATCTGACCTTTTCTGAATATTCGTTCTATTTCCCTTTAAGACGTAGTCCTCTGGGTTAAGAATGTTGACAAGCCATAGGGAATTCATAATCTATATTTTCATGGCAGAAACCCGGGGGAAGAGAGCAACTAGCAATGGAGTGGAGGATGGATTTCCCCTCTGAAAGTCTCTTGTTCTTCGCAGAGTGCGACTGTAACTTGGCGGGTGTTCTCCCTGAAATATGTGATGCCCGTGGCAGGTGCCTGTGCCGCCCTGGGGTTCAGGGCCCTCGGTGTGATACCTGCTGCTCTGGTTTCTACTCATTCCCTATTTGCCAAGGTAAGTGGCCAAAACACAGCATATTGATCATCAGTCTCCCAAGATAAATCTCCTGAGGAGACACAGAGGCTCTTTCTGGCAGAACTGTGTGGCCTGCAGTTTAATAAATTAGCCCCTGGCTTATACATGTGTATGACTTATGACTGTGCTACCTGGATTTTGTCACCTCCCTTCTTTTGTCTTTCCAACCCTGTCCTTCCTCCTCCCTAGTAGTTAAGCACATGGGCTGTGGAGTCAGCTGCCTGGATTCAAATCCCGGCTCTGGAGAGGAGCTGGTGTCTGAACAGTGTTTAGGAACCTGCCAGGTAGATGAGAGGAGGAGGCAGGGCAGAGAAGGAACAGCATATGCAAAGCCACAGAGCCACAAAACCACCAACTCCTCCTTCCCCATCCTAGTAAGAGTCACTGAGGGGTGGAGGTTGGGAGGAGGAGGTGTCTGGCTCAGTCCCTAGAGCGTAATAGGTTGAAGTAAACACTGGGCAAATGAACATATGAATGAATAAATTTGCCAAGTTCTAATCCCCTGCTTTCTCCTCACTGCAGCCAGTGTTGTAAGGGGAAGGGAGGAGAAAGAAGAAAACATGATCAGCCAGGGCTCAGGGCAGGAGATAAACACCACTCCGGGTATTATAGACAGAAGGACACTCACTACAGGTAATTAGGTGGTAAGACCTGGAGCAGTGCTCTAGGCTGGGCCTCAAAGAGGCCTCGGAAAACATGATCAGCCAGGGCTCAGGGCAGGAGATAAACACCACTCCGGGTATTATAGACAGTAGGACACTCACTACAGGTAATTAGGTGGTAAGACCTGGAGCAGTGCTCTAGGCTGGGCCTCAAAGAGGCCTCGGATAGAATGGCCGGGTTTTAAGCCCAAGCTGCTGTGGCACAGCACAAGGCTGGGAAGACCACGGTGCTGCTGCCTCCACAGCCACCTCTTGGCACCCGAGAAGCCAGAGACAGAGCACAGCTGCAGGAAGGCTCAGTGAACAGCAGGAAGACAGCCTCCTCCTTACTCCCCATCTGTCTAATCTTATTATTTCTAATTTGCAAAACTCAATTGGCATCGAGAGACCAGCCCCAAGAGAATCCGAGCAGTGCTGTTTTTAGCTTTCCAGCCTCTGAAACTAGGAGGAGGTTAGAATAGGTATCGAGCAGTCTCATCTGCAAGATCAGCCACACTAAGGAACTGTGAGTGGGGGAAAGAGCAGGAAAAGACGTCCCCTAAGTTGGAGGACGAAGTAGTATAAAGAGCAAGGGTTGTACTAGTTATCGACATTGGCAAGTTGCTTAACCTCTGTGTTCCTCAGTTTCCTAGTAACGGTGCCCACCTCATCACATTGCTGTAATGCTTACATACGTGCTGACAGGTAATGCTCTGAGAGCCCAGGGCACACTTGCTTGTGTGTTAGCTGTGGTTCTTTTATCCTTCTTCTTCCTCTGCCCCATACTTCTCTCTACATCATTTTGAGCCCATTGCCCCAGTCCTAGCCATCTCCCTGTTTGCTTATAAGCCTAAATGTCATACCCCTAATCCTTCCTTTTCCTCCTGGCCTGCACAAATATAGTCAAAATAATGCAGAAGGGAGGAAAGACTTCCACAACAACAGAGTAAGGAGTTTTGTAGATGCTCTCTTTAGAGAAACAAAAATTTAATTGGTGAACATTTAAAAAAAAATCATTTAAAGCCATAGAAATGGCCATAAATGCATACAGCAAATGAAGAAACATTGAAGAAAATCTGAATCTAGGTAAAAGCAGTGAGAGTCTGTGACATTTGAGTCATGACCCATCCTATTACCCTCCCCCCACTCCATCTTATAAAAGCTTTACCCGGGGCATGTTTGGTCAAGAAGATGGGTGCTCTCTGTACAATATACCCCACTTTGGAGCTATGGTTTCATCTTGGGAGTGGCAGGCTGCTGATGTGTCTCATCCCACTGCAGCCCTGTGTTGCAAAAGCTCTAGTCCAGGTAGGCTCAGCAGAATCAGGTCTCTCTTTCCCTACTAAGCCCTCACTTGTAAGGTGGAAGCTCTAACTTAGGCACTTCAGGCTGAAAATACTGGGACCTGAATCACCCCCGCCCTAGCTGGCTTATAGAATGGATCTCCATGTTGGGAGGGGCAAGCTGAGAAGACCAAGGGCTGCATCTTCCCCCAGTTCCCACTTGTAGAGCAAGGGCATCACTCCAGAAAAAGTGGGTCTCCACCTCCAGCTCTGATGGTACAGTGCTTCTCCCCAAAAGGAAAGGTATGTCATAAGGACAAAGAGCTCTGCAGCTCTTTCTGAAAGAACTGACTATTTTGCATAGAGTAGACAACTCCATACCCAAGCGTGTTGTAGGAAACAATAAAGATCTTAGTGTATAGCAATTAAGAGGAGGCTGGTAGCTCTAATGCAAGCAAAGCATCAGAGCAGCCAGAAGTGTAATAGAGAAAATCAGAGAAACAACAGCCCAGAAGAGCCTTCCTGAGGTCATAGATAATTCTGGAGGTTGGGAAGACAGTGCACACACTAGGCTGTACCTATTCAGGATAATCAGAGTAAGACAAGGGGCAGACTCAGAAACATCCCCCAAAATGCACACAAACTCATCAACATGGTGGAGCCTCACTGACACCAGGGACTTAATTAAGCACAACCTCTGACCAAACACTGAATGAACAATCTACTCTGACACAGGCAACTCCTAGGGAGTCAGGCTTAAAAATGATATATCCATCCTCGATCATCTAGAAGACCGTATGCATGCTCAAGGCTGTGCCATCAATGATCAGAGAGAGAAAATCCAAACTAGTAGTCCCTGGCTGAATATGGGGATTGGGGGGAATAAAAGTTAACTCCCTGGACTGTGATTGCAGCTTCCAAGCCACAAAGACATCTAATAATAAAGAGTAACTGACCAAGGCTTAAACTGCCTTCAATCAATAAATGGCTGGTACCAACCCAGGGGTGATGCTGAGGTAGCAAGACCAGAAGACAAGAATAAGGGTAAAAATCTGAGCAGGAACATTAGAGGCTGAACATTGCAGGGGAAATAGACTTGGCGGCATTAGTTCATCCAAGTCACTAAGCAAATAAACAACCAATCAGGCAAACAATACAACAATCCTGTTGGTAATGACAGATCAGTAGCTGGAGTTGCTACAATATATTATCTAAAATGTCCGGTTTTCAAAAGAAAGTCATGAGATGTTCAGAGAAACAGAGAAGGGTGACCCATACACAGAGTGAAAAAGCAGGCAATAGAAACTTCCTTTGAATGGGCTCAGATATTAAACCTAGCAAACAAAGACTTTAAAGCAGCTATTATAAATCTGCGTAAAGAAATAAATCATGTTTAATGAATTAAAGAAAGGTATGATGACAATGTCTCACCATAGAGAATAACAATAAAGAGATAGAAATTATTAAAAAGAAGCAAATGAAAATTCTGGAGTTATAAAGTGTAATAACTGAAGTGAAAAATTCATTAAAAGGGTTCAACAGCAGATTCGAGCTGGCAGAAGAAAGAACCAGCATACTTAATGACAGATTGATAGACATTATGCAGTCTGAAAAATAGAAGAATGAAGATAAGTGAACAGAAACTCAGAGAAATTTGAGATACCATTAAGTGTGCCAACATTTGTGTAATGGGAGCACCAGAAGGAGAGGACAGAGAAAGAGACAGGAAAAATAGTCAAAGAAATAACAGCTGAAAACTTCCCAAGTTTGATGAAAAACAACTTACATACCTGAGAAGCTTAATGAACTCCAAGCAGGATAAATACAAAGGGATACACATCCAGACACATCATAATTAAAATATTGAAAGACAACAACAAAGAGAAAATCTTGAAAGCAGCAAAAGAAAAATGGCTAATTGTGAACAAGGGAACCCCAGTTAGAGAAACAGCTGACTTCACATGAGAAATAATGGAGGCTAGATGGCAGTGGGACTTCATGTTCTAAGTGCTGAAAGTAAAACGCTGTCAACCAGGAATCTTTAATCCATCAAAATTATTATTCAAAATGAAGGAAAAGTAAAGACATTCCCAGAGGAATAAAAACGGAGAATTTATGAGAAATAATGGAGGCTAGATGGCAGTGGGACTTCATGTTCTAAGTGCTGAAAGTAAAACACTGTCAACCAGGAATCTTTAATCCATCAAAATTATTATTCAAAATGAAGGCAAAGTAAAGACATTCCCAGAGGAATAAAAACGGAGAATTCATTGCTAGCTGACCTGCCTTAAAAGAAATACTGAAGGAATTTCAAGCTAAAAGCAAGCAGCTCCAGACAATAATTTGAATCTACATGCAAAAACTAAGAATGTTGATAAAGGCAATTATGTAGTATATTAGTCCATTTTCTTTTGCTTATAGCAGAATACCTGAAAGTGGGTAATTTATAAGAAAATGAAATTTATTTCTTACAGTCCAAGGTCCAGAGAATGCATCTGGTGTGGGCCTTCTTCTTGGTGGGGAGTCTCTACAGAGTTCTGTGGTGACCCAAGGTATCGCATGGCAAGGAGGGAAAAGCATTTTTAAGTGCTTGCTTGTTCTTGTAAAGCCACCAGTCCAGACCCATGATAACTCTCTATACCATTACTCCATGAATGATTAATCCATTCATGAGCATAGTTCTCTCAATCCAATCACGTCTAAAGGCCCCAACCTTTAAAATACCATAATGGGGATTAAGGTCCAATATGAGCTTGGAGGGACATTCAAACCACAGCATGTTAGTAATTACCAAAGACAGTATAATTAAATATTTTTATCCTTTCTTCTCTTGACTGACTTAAAAGAAAATGCACAAAACTATATGTACAAATACATTCACACATACATACATGCACACTTACATACTATTGGGCCTGTAACATACAGAAATGTAATATAGTTGACAATAGTACGAAGGAGACAGATGAGAATAAAGTTGTATTGGAGTAAGGAAATGACAGCAACTCCACAGGAAGAAATGAAGAGAACTAGAAAGGGTAAGTAAAGTTTATAAAGACACTCTATAAATATATACTTGCTCTCCTTCTATCAGCTTCCTTAAAAGGCATAGGTTATATTAATTAATAATTGTAATAATGTATTGCTGGCTTGAACATATATAGATGTAATATGTATAGCAGTTGCAACACACAAAAGACGGGGAGTGGATGGAGCTACATCGGAGGAGAGTTTCTGTATTTCAATGGAACTAAATCAATATAAATCTGAAGTAGATTCTTTTTTGTAATCCCTAGAGCAATCACTAAAACAATAACAAAAAATGATTAAAAGGTCATTAAAGGGGAGCTGGCCCCGTGGCTCACTCGGGAGAGTGAGGCACTGGGAGCTCCGAGGCTGTGGGTTTGGATCCTATATAGGGATGGCTGGTTTGCTCACTGGCAGAGCGCGGTGTGGGCGACACCAAGCCAAGGGTTATGATCCCCTTACTGGTCACAAAAAAAAAAAAAAAAAGTCACTAAAGGAAGTAAGAAGTTATACTAAAAAACATCTATCTAAGACGAAAGAGGGAAATAAAGGAGAAATAGAGGAATAGAAAAGACATGAGATGTATAAAAAACAAAATGCAAAATGGCAGAGGAAAATCTAACTGTATTGATAATAACATTCAATATGAATGGATTCTACCTCATACCATAAACCAAAACAAAAAAAAAAAAAAAAAAAAAAAGTCACTAAAGGAAGTAAGAAGTTATACTAAAAAACATCTATCTAAGACGAAAGAGGGAAATAAAGGAGAAATAGAGGAATAGAAAAGACATGAGATGTATAAAAAACAAAATGCAAAATGGCAGAGGAAAATCTAACTGTATTGATAATAACATTCAATATGAATGGATTCTACCTCATACCATAAACCAAAATTAACCCCAAATGATCAAAAACCTAAGTGGAAGAGCTAAAACTATAAAACTCTTAGAAGAAAGCATAGGCATAAATCTTCAGAACATTAGATTAGTCAATAGGTTCTTAGATATGCCACCAAAAACATAAGCAACAAAAGAAAAAAATAGATAAATTGGACTTTATCAAAATTAAAAACTTTTGTACTTACCAAGAAAGTGGTAAGACAAACCATAGAATGGAAGAAAATATTTGCAAATTATATATCTGATATGGTACTAGTATCAAGAACATATAAAGTACTCTAATAGTTCAGTAGTAAAAAGACAATTTAATTTTAAAAGGAGCAAAGGATTTGAATAGACATTTCACAACAAAGATATGCAAATGGCCAATGAGTGCATAAAAAGATGTTTAATATCATTAGTCATTAGGTAAATGCAAATCAAAAACACAATGAAATACCATTTCATACCCACTAGAAAGGGAGACAATAAGAATTGGCAGAGATGTGCAGAAATTTGAACCCTCATACATTGTTACTGGGAATGTAAAATGGTACAGCCACTTTGGAAACATTTTTAATACTCTGCCTATTTTAACATAGACTTCTATAAAAACCTCCAAACTTTTACCATTTTTTCCCTCTGGAAAAAAAATCACTGTTTTCAAATGTATGCTATAATTCTTTGGACTTCAGCAGAGTATTATTCCATGTTTCCATCTAGCTGGAATTTGCTTACATGTCTGCGTATCTGGAGCAAAAGTAAGAACTAGGCAGTAAGACCCCCAACCCTGTATTGCCTTTGTAAAGTCAAAAAGCACCCCCCAAAGATGCATGATAAGGGAATCCCACAGGCCTCTCTCAGCCTAGTATTCTCTCTCTCTCTCTTTTTTTTAATAATTGTATTAAGTTTGGTTATTTATTTTCCAAACCAAACCCATGGTGAATTAGAAACGTAACTTAGAAGAGGGGGAAAGATTGCTAAGGCAACACTCTAGGGCAAGGGAGAAGACAGAAAAACAGACATGAAACGGAAGAAGTGTAGACGTCTGAGGACCTTTAATGAGGGGCAAATAATCCCACCCAACTCAGAAGGTACTGAGGGTATTTACCATTAGAGCAAGTAAGTGAGCATTGTAACACTAGCTCTGGGTCATAGAGAAGTAGTTCAATCGTGTCTAATACACCTGCTTCAGAAGGAAGGGAAGTATATAATACATTTTAGTAAGAGTACTACTTTAAATGGCTAAAATGAGAACATTTTAATGATGAAAGAGTCACTTAAAATTCTTAACAATTTCATGTGACAGAAAAGTTGACTAAACTGGCTTAAGGCAAAAATAATTTATTGGTTGGAATTGAAAAGTCCAGACATATTGGTTTCAGGAACAGCTTGATCCAGGGGCTCAAAAGATGTTGGCAAGATCTACTTTTCTCCGTCTTTCAACTCTGCTGTCTTGTGTATTGGCTTCATTCTCAAGCCTCAGGTGATGGTAAGATGGCAGCCAACAGCTCTTAGACACACACTGCTATGGACTGAATTGTGCTCCCCAAAATTCATATGTTGAGGCCCTAACCCCCAGTGTGATTGTATTTGGAGTAAGGAAACAATTAATGTTAAATGCAGTCATGGGTGGAGCCCTGATCTGATAGGATTAGTGTCCTTGTAAGAACAGAAACCGGAGGACTCGCTTGCTCTCTCTCCACCGTGTGAGGATGTAGTAGATTGAATTATGTTCCCCCAAACTCCCTGAAGTGTGAATTGTGTCCCCAAGTTTTATGTATTAGAAACTTAGCCCCCACTGTGACTGTTAAGAGGGTGGGAGATTCTATTATGGTAATTGAAAGGTGGAGCCTTGAAGAGGTGATTGGACTGTAGGACCGTGCCCTAGTGAATAGGCTAAAAATGGTGGTCAGGGGTGTAGTTCTGAGGGCTTTAAAAGGAGAGTGAATGAGGGGGTTAGTCTCTCTCTGCTTCCACCTTCTTGCAATGGAGGCCACTAGGTCACTGACACCACCACCAGATGGACTTTGGACTTCTCAGCCTCAGAAACTGTAAGCAATAAATTTCATTTTTCTTTATAAATCACACAGTTTCAGGTATTTTGTTATAAGGAACAAAAATGGACTAATACAGAGGACACAGTGAGAAGGTGGCTATCTGCAAGCCAGGAAGCAGATCCTCAGCAGAAACCAAATCGGCCAGTACCTTGATCTTGGACTTCTAGCTTCCACAATTGTGAAAAAATAAATGTCTGTGTTTAAGCCACCCAGCCTCTGGTATCTTGTTATGGCAGCCTGACCTAACACATAGCCATCCAGGTCCAAGACTCAGGGAAAAGAGTATGCTTTCCTCCAGGACAAGACTGGCCCTCACTGGATCACATGCCCATTCCTGAATCAGTCCCATGGCTGTGGAATTCAGTGCTCTGATGGGCTAAGCCTGAGTCTTTCCACACTCATGGAACTAGGAGTAGAGTCCACACCATCTGAACAGCATGATCAGAGCAAGGGGAACAGAGGCTCCCTCACGGCAAACTCTGGGTGCCATAACCAAGATGGGGGGGGTGGCAAAATGATGTGTCAGTAAAACCCTCAGCTCTCTGAGAAACCTTAGTTCTCCAAAGTGACCAATCCTGTGAGAGATTAGGAAAACCCTGAGGTTGCACCATAGCATTTTTCTTCTTGAGAATCTGACACCTGACATGAGAAGCTCTGTAATCAGCAACAGTGCATGAAGATAACGCAGTATTCCTTGTTTTAAGAGATTGGAGTTGGGCTTTAAAGAAAGGTGAATTTATTTTCTCATTTATATATATATATATATATATATATATATTTTGTCTTTTTCCATGTCCGGCAATGGATCGCAACCCTCAGTGTCGCGCCTGTACCGGACCGGGGACCGGAAACGGGATTGCAACCCTCGGCGTTGCTCCCGCGCCTTGCTCAGCCAGTGAGCGGGAACCGGTCTGTATGTGGGATCCGAACCCTTGGGTGGGAGCGCCGCCGCGCTTCCCAAGAGGCGCACTATCCAGTGCGCCACCGGGCCGGCCCCTCATTTATATTTTTGGTTGAGGTGGTTTGGACCTCTGCTTGCAAAAGTCTGCCAAAGCCTCCTGACCCCACTGGAAGCAAGAGAGTGACTGGATTTGCCAATAGCCACTGGAGAGAGGGGCTAGAGGGACACCAGCAGGTACTCTCCACCCCTGTGGGTGGATGTTTGTGGCCAGCCTCTGCTGGATTCAGTCTGGGCTTCAAAGTTGTGGCCCCAGTGGAGGGAGAGAGGCTCACCTGCAAGGCAGAGAGGGGCAGGTAGCTCATGTGCTCTGATACTGCCCCCGGCCCCCTAGTTTTTGCATTTGCTCCTTAGCTCCACCTGCAAAGCATGGATGAGGGGGAGAGAAGGCATGGGTTAGGCTTTGGAATTCAAGTGGGATAGTGGGAAGCAGTTCACCTCAAGTCCTGCCTCAGTGGTCCCTACTAATGCATGTCCAGCCTTGGAGGAGCCTGCCAGTGCTGAAGGGCTGTTTTCCGAGTTGTGCAGGACATGAGTCGTCTGCCCTACTCCTGGGGGATGTCGAGGTGGACCCTGCAGTTTGTCGTTTCAGATTTAAGCCGTTCTGGGAAGAGCTTGGGATGATGGAACCTCTGTCTGTGACTGTCTCCCTTCTCTTGTGGCCACTTTTTAAAACAGCTTTTGTGATCTTGTTTTAGAGGGAGTAGATTACTTGACCCGTTGAATTTTAGAATCAAATTAACATGGCCAGAAATGCTACATCAGATGGCCCAGTATATTCTAACCAAAAAAAATGTTCTTACGGCTTTTCTCTTTATTGCTTTAAAGTCCTTAAAAATCTTCTTCAAAGAGAATTTAAAAACACTTCTAAGCAGTTCTTGCCAACGACAGGCTTGGATTTATGTTTTGCATTAAATTAATCTACTCCAGACTTTTCGAAGTACAATGTAGCCTTCTTTTCATGTTGACGTCGACCCACTCAAGTGCCCCATAACTTTTTTTTTTAGAGATGTGAATTGAATCACAGGCATGAGACGAGAATGGAGGATGGTCTGTGGGTACGTCAACTTTTTATTTATGTCGATGTTTGATTCAACTCTGTGTCTTCAGCCACAGAGCGCAGCCGCAGCTCTCTGGCTTGACTTGGTCATGTGGGAGGTTTGCTCCTCCCCATCCCTCGTGCCTGCTGCCTCTCCTCCTTTTTCCCCTCCTCCTCGTCTTCATTTTTCTCTTCCTCTTTCCCACCTTCCCCGTCCCCCACCTCCTTTTCTGGTGCAGCTTGCCAGGCTGCAACTAGTCAGCACTTAGAACAGAGGACAGCAGGGGGGTGTGTGGAGATGAGCGTCCTCCCCTCCTCTGAACTGGGGCGCACAGAAGGAAGCACAGACGCCCCCAAACCTCACCACGCTGGCCTGACACAGCACCCAGAACCGTCCCCATTACAGTCTGATGTAGTGCTTGGGTTGTGGTAACAGGTCTTTCCCTAGAAAAGTCCTGTAAGTATGGTTGCCAGTGAGAGACCACCCTCCTCCCTGTGAACGTATTCTCATTAGTCAGGCAGAGTAGCCAAGGGACGAGGGCAAGGGCACTGGCTGATGGAGGATGGTGCTGGGGAAGGTTTCCAGCTTGGATGCTCCTGGAAGAACCTCTCAACCCTTCCAGGGGGAAAACGGAGACCACAGGGCTGGTGGGGAGGGCCATCTGAAGCCAAGTTCTGTGCAATTTTGCCTTGAACTGGCCTTGCGCTTTGTAATTCGGTTTTTGTGTAAAAGAGTATTGAGGTGGTTGGTTGGAAGGGCTTAAGATTTTCTGTAGATTTGATTTACCCAATGCCCAGTTCAAAGAAGTGAACTGTGAAAGTGTCGTGGAACTGACTGTTGGCTTTGTGGCTTTGACTGAAGAAGGTGCCAGTCTGCTTTTCTACCAGCAGGTAAACCTCCAAAAATCACGGGCCATCCCTCAGACAATAGGGAGCTCTGTTTAACTTACAATTGACATGTTGTCTGTGGAGTGTTGCCTCTCATGAGCTTCTTATGGAGGGAGAAGAGGATGGCAACACTCATGGAAATACCCGTCTCAGCAATGTCGCACAACTCAACGAGGGAATGCACATCCAGGACCTAGCCTGGCCTGGACCCCAGAAGGGTCTCCAGGGCTGCTTGTTCTCTCATTTAACAACTATCTGTCTGGCATGTGCCCTGGACCAGGACCATGCTTGATGCTGGCAGACATCCAAAGCATGGCAGACAAGCTCCTGGTACCCTTGACCTTTATTACCATAATTTTTTATACTTCTTGAGAGTAAAAGTGTCTTGAGGCAGAAACAACGAGATGAGAAGAAGTAAAATATTGCAGAAACTCCAAAGGACCTGGACCAAAACAAAGAGCAGAATTAATAATTTTGAAGGCTTCTAGTATTTCCAAGAGTGAGGAAGGGCTGCCAAAGTTGGGGTTTGGGATTTGGCAGTTTTCACTGATGGTTGGATTGAAATGAGAAGTGTAATGCCAGATTGAGTAATTCGCAATTTTATGTGCTTTTAAGGGCAAGTCTTTGTTTTCACCTCCAGAGTGTAACTGTGTCCCCTGAGGCTCCCTGGACAACCCCTCTGCCCTATGGGCCAGTGTATGTGTCACTCCCATTATGCTGTGGAACTGCTGCCGCTGTGTTCCCGGTAGCTACTCCGACTGCCTTCATGGGTCTTTTTCTCTCCGCATTCACTTTCGTTAAGGGCAGAAATAGCAGAAAGAGCCTGTACTAGCCAGTGTTCTCCAGAAAAACAGAACTGCTAGGATGTGTGCATTAAATAGAAAGAAATTCATTATAAGGACCTGGCTCACGCGACTGTGGGGCCAGCACGTCTGAAATCTGCAGGGCACGCCAGCAGGCTGGAGACCCACGGAAGAGATGATTCTGCAGCTCAAGTCTGAAGACAGTCTGGAAGCAGAATTCCTCCTCCTTCTTTGGGGAGATTAGTCTTTTTCTCTTAAGGCTTTCAGATGAGTGGATGAGGCCCACCAACATGATGAAAGGAATCTGCTTTACTCAGTCTACTGATTGAAATGTGCATCTCATTTAAAAAATATCTTTGCAATGAGGTCTAGATTGGAGTTTGATCAAGCATCTGGGCACCATGGCCTAGCCAAGTTGACTCGTAAAATTAACCAACACAAGTTCACCCCTTGTCAACTTGACACCTATACATATCTCCTTAAAATATACTTAATCGCCAAGTAAAAACTATAACAAGGTCATAATTTTGCATAATATAGATACGACTATCCTGTGCACAACCAAAAACTTACTAATCCTTTCCCCAAAAGAGGAAGTGAAGTCCCTGGATGATGTTCACTCTTCTTGATATCCTGTAACTTAAATACTATGGTATAACATCGACGTATCTTATGTTACATGATAAGGGGATAAGGGGGGGGGGAACCAAAGATACTTGTTTCACACACACACACACACACACACACACAAAAAATACTATGGTATAACATCGACGTATCTTATGTTACATGATAAGGGGATAAGGGGGGGGGGGAAACCAAAGATACTTGTTTCACACACACACACACACACACACACACCACAAAAAAAACATTCATAACAGAATAAGGAAGAAATACTCATTACAAGTACAGTCCTCATTGCTGTTGCTGGTCACTTTGTTACAGCTGACATTTGTAACTACCTTCTTACACTACCCATTACATATGTCCTTTGCCCTCAGCAAGCACCTCAGCTGGTAATGATTCTTTACCTGGTACAGTGACCCAAACCTTCATTCCTGAAGAATCTGGGCCATCAATAGTCTAGCCTGAATGGTGGTAGTGTAGTTTTCCATTGACCTTAATCACAGGGCATGGTGGTACTCAGAGACACGCTAAGGGATCTCCTGTATTCCAGACACATTCTTCCTTACCTCCATTGTGGAGAAACACAATTACTCCCATTTTTGTCTGTGTTAATTCAGAGACATGAGGTACCCAGAATGGTCAGGTAGCGGTTTTAACTTCCAGTTCAATGGAATCATTGTTTTATCTTCTGGCAGGATCATTCCTACCTCTGGAACAAAGACCTCTCTAGGCTAGCAGAGCATAGGTAGTGGGAACAGGAAGCAAAAATTTTGCCCGTGGATCCCTAGGGGTAATAGTGAATGGTGCCACTCCCATTTCCACCCCTTGATTCCTGGACTTGTGAATCCT